TTGAGAAAATGAATATATTTGCATGTGAGGTGCTAGTACTTGTGCTGCTTTGAATACGAATCTTTATAGTGCATTGAATTACTAATATCCATGGGCAATAACTCTTTATTTCTTTTATGATTTCGGACTCCTACAGAAGTCTTGAATTTTATATTATTCTATTCTTTTGTGATCTACTGATAATTTATAACCAAATTTTTGTTTCTTTGATTGAATTGCTTGAATCGTTTTTAGAGTTCCATGACACTGATTACTTTTTCGACGAATAATTTTATTAATATCGAGGCGTTACTTTAACATTTTAATTATATAAAAGCTTCAGAAACATATTTGTTCTTATTTTTTACATATGTATATAACTAAACTAATTGTTTGGTTCACCTTAGATATTTAAATATATTAGTTTCTATGAGGAGCACATAGCCACAATTAGATTCTTTGATTCCATTCAATCTGTTGGATGCAACCAACTTCAATTCTCCCCAGGTTTTACCAGTCCTAGCGATTTCAAAACTCAGGTGCCTATGTCATATATGACCCGGTCGTCCACTTTGTCAACTTTCCTACGGATTTCAGTTCCTGCGAATTACTATGGTCATGCGAGTAATGTCGTCTTGGAGATTCAGTAGCGTGTGGCTTAACCAGCTTCACTTCCGTAGCTCCTGAGAAACATCTCTTCGGTTTCCTGTGTTTAAGAGTTTGTTATGCGATATAGTTTGTGGCCAAAATTATCAAAACATGCGCCGCAGACACCGATTAGAGAAGACTTCCTTTTCACAACTAACAACTTATACTCATTGTTGACTGAGTAGGCGAGTAGACAGGACACGTGACATTCATACTGACATCAATCGCCCATATGCTGGTTTTACTTTTTGAATGTGATTAACGATGACCGCACTACTTACTTCACTGCTGGTAATAACACTGCCAAGGCAGCAAAAATTGTCTAATGCTCAAAAATGTATAATTGTATAGGGCTAAGTATTCCAGAAGGGCTAAGTATCATAGAATGCTAGTAACAATACGGCCAAGGCAGCAGAAATTGTTGACGTCTTCTAACCTATTACCAACGATAGGACTACTTGATTGTCTAACGCTCAAAAATGTATCCTTGTATAAGGCTAAATATTTCCGAAGGATTAACTGTTCGAAGACGTAAATATAGATTTTATAGTGAAAAAATTTTGACATTTTTTTTTAAGTTTGTACTCCGCAAGATAAAGTAAGTCTAAGCAGTATTATATGTCAATATACCTGAACCTATTAAGTGTTTTTTTAAATATAGGAAGTGAATTTTTTTTTAATATTATAACTTAGCTTGAAACACAAAATTTGTAGAACTTCTCTTTTTAAAGCTTCTCATATAGAATTTTTATATTTAGTCATTTTTTTCCAAATAACATTGTTTTAGAATTATGTCAGAATTATATTAAAAATTTTATTAATGATTTACCTATAATAATTTTAATCAATTTATAAATTCATCATTTAAATCGCTGAATTAATTTTATTTTCGAATTATTTTTAGTTTTTACTCATCCATTGTCCATTCATAACGGAATTTCAATTTTATTTTTTACTAATTTTGTCAATTTTAGAATAAAAAACACTTTGCTGCACTTATGATATTATTAAAAATCCATAAAAAACTGTTTATGCCATACACAAAGAAATATTTTTTAATGCGCAAAATTTAGATAAAAAGAATAATATTCACAAAAAAAATCGTCTAAAAAAACGGTGCCGTGTATAAAATATCCGCGTATATAAATACTTAATATATGAATTATACGACTAACACGCCTACTTTCGATATCGCGTCGTCCGTGGTCCGTCGTCGCGTTCTCCTACAACTTTGGTATAAATAATTAAATTTGTTAACTTAAGCAAATTAATAAATTTTCTGTTAATATCAGAAGACATTTTTGTTTATTAACACAGAAAGCATATAAAAAATTTTTATATTATATATAAAATTTTTATTGTATTTATTTTTGAAACTTGTTTATTTTTTTATTGACAAATTATAAGAGCAACAACAAAAATACTAAGAGAAAAAAAATGTTTTTATAAATAAAATAAAACAACAATTCGAGGCATTCAAGTATTTTTTTTTAAACGCGCTAGAAATCTACACAGCCCAAATAGAATATTTTTGGAAGTGTATTATCAGTGCATCATAAACATTTAATTTTTCTAGATATTCTTCAATAAATACGCAATTTTTTATAAACTGTAGAGCAATAAAAATATTTTTGACAAAGCTATTTCAAAAGTAAAAGTATTAGAAAGTAAAAATTACGTCAAAAACTTTCTCTAACCACAAATCTTCAAATCATATTTAAGTGTTAAAGATTTTAGTATTTTCTACTATTTACAAAGTTTAATTAATTTTTATTTAACCATTTAATATGGAACCAACATTCCAATGAAAATTTATTCTTCATTCTTGTGACAGCACCAGGTTTTAAACAGTCGGAGACTTCCATGATAACGTCTAAGTAAAACTATACGAAACCTCAAAAATCTTTAGCCTCAAACAAAACTGTGAAGTGATTAAAGCAATAAACCAGAAACCATTTCTTCTATTCATTTATACTATATATATAATAAAGACACATTAACCCATATCTGCCCAACGTTTGATAAATCGAACAGCAAATTTTACTACTTTTCATGGATTTTTTGTTTATATTAGAAAAACTTTAGAGTTTATATATGTCATTACTTTGAATGTATGCAACTTTAGCTTTACAAAAATATTTGTGCCTTCACTCCACAACCCCAAACCCCCTCCCTACCCCCATTACTAATTAAACTTTAAAAAAAGCATTTTGACCAAAAATTCCAACAAAAAAATCCTTCTGCGGATATATGTTAGGTTAATAATTTGCTCAAAGACATAAAAAATACTATAAGTATTCTATTTAATATGGATGCCGATAATTTTATCTAATCTGTATGCAAATCTATAATAAAATAATAATAATAATTATTATAATAATAATAATTTTTGAAAAGTTTGTTAATTGTAATGTAAAACTAAAAGCAACAAAAAATCAGAAAAATATTTAATTAATACATTTTTATGTTTAATTTACAAAATATATTAAACAAGAAAAATTGTACTATAAATCATCCACATATCATCCAAGCCAAAACAATCTAATCAATTCAACAAAAAATTAATAATCAAGTTTCTGTAATATTCTGAAGTAACAATAACTGCAAATCCATTTTTTTTTTTTTTAAATGGTTCAAAGATATCTCCAGCCCATACACCAAACTCTTCATTTGTGTATATGTTACCAAGTCTCAATTATGACATATGGATTAATTTCAGTCCAAATATGACAAAATTAAATTAACTTGAATTAATGAATCTATTTCAAGTTCCTCCAAAGCCCAATCTGTGACATTAGCTACTGTAGGTATATTTTTCCGCGCTTTTTGCCAAAGAATACTGAACACAAATATTAATTCTGTAAGGAGTCTAAAAAATATGACGTCTAAGACATCTATAATATATAACATACAATATATAATACTATTCTAATGATCCTATATTATTTCAGAAACACAATAACATGGCTAAAAAAATTATATATATAAAGTGATATATATTTTGAGATCCTGATTTCAGAAAGAACTAACATCCAAGGCATTATATTAATTACCGCTTTAAGTACTTAAATTGATAAAATATAGTTTAGAATTGTTATGATTTTCGCGTGAAATTATCTTCAGTGATGAGGCTCACTTAACACTGAGTGAATATATACATAAACAAAATTGTCACATCTTTGAAGAAAAAAAATCCATAAATACTATTTGAAGGAGTATTGTATCAAAAAAAGTCTCTGCATGGCATTGGGAAGTGCCATATGCTCGTACTGTTTTGAAAATGACTACAGTTCAATGTAAGCTGACAACTCAAATGACTACAGACACTTGTTTAGCAATTTTTTTGGTTTGAAATTAAAGATATAGATATTGAAGATATGTGGTTTCAAAAGAACGGTGCCAATAGATACAACCCATAACTTACACTACATGCTACGTTACCGCCTGTTGACCACCAGTTTTATGTAATTCGTCACCACTAACTTTTTTTTTTTTCCGTAGCGTTCCGTAAAATATCGTGTTAATGTGCACAATCTTCGAACTTTCAATAACTTGATAGCGAACAATAGTCAAGTTATTGCTAAACTATTGCCAGTTGTATACCGATAAGTCGTAGAAAAAGTTTTGAAAAGATCTAACTATATGAATAATATATTTCACATCTGAAGTCTAGGTATCAAAGCGGAATAAAAATTTGTTCATATCCGCAATTACAAGAAAACTTTTAGAACTCTGAAATTGATTACAGTGTTAATATCCAATTTATTAACAATCTAAAAATCACCTTCTCAATCTGTTGTAACTAATTGATTGTTGTTAGTGATTACAGCTGCAATAAGATAAGAAAGTATAATTTATACTTGTAATAATAACTCGAGTTTATAACTTCCGTTTTCAAAGATGAAAACTTTAACAAACATCAATATAATTAACCTGATAAATATCTCATTTAAATATTAGCAGCTAAGGAAATTATAATTATAATAGCTAAAATCAATATTAAAAAACTCTTTATAACCGAGAACGACAACATTTTTTGAACTAATCTAATTAATTATAATAATAATAATTAATCAGCTATATTGAAAATCATATTAATATTAACAAGTCTGGATTTAACCAAGAAGGCAACAAAATCGAAGTCAAATACAAATGACGATATAATATAACTTAAAAGCAATTCAATAATTCAAAAAATATCTGGAAATACTTTCTCCAACAGCAATAAACAAACCTGCAAGATTGCTGAATAAGTTAAGGCTTGTAATAAATCCAGTATCCAGTATTTTTCATAGAGATAGAAAAACACCCTCATCAACATTAACAAACTGAATGAATAGGAAAACATTTAATCGTAAATTATATGTACTTACTATCAACATTTGAAAGCGGCTCTGACTTCAAATACTTGGAATATATCGAACTACCTCTATAAATCTGCACTATGTTTAGGCTTTGAATTGACGACTAATAAAATTACTCGGCTATCACTTAGTTCCAAGGTACAGATTAACTGAAAAGGAAAAATAAAAAAGAAATTATTTAACAATTTACAAAACTACAAATACATTATGATATTACATATATAAGGGTATACTAAACAATACTATAAGTATTTTTTTTTTTTTTGGAAAACATAAACTGTATGTATAATCACAATTATCACACGTCAACGGACAGCTCATATATATTGCAACTACAAGATACAAGAGTCTAATCTATTCAACATCCCATTAAAAAATTACTTATTCCTTCGATGTGTAGTCTGACATTTATAAACCAATACATTATAAACAAATGCAAAGCCTATCTGAACCCAAAATATATACATCATTTCACTATATAAATCCAAAACCTGAAAAACTGAAATATAATTTGCAGGCAAGAGAATTAATATATTGTTAGTAATCTTCATGAAAATATAACCAACAACAGGCTTAATGAATAAATCTTATTTAGACTAATAACCACTTCAAATAATATATTATTGCATTTATTTCTCTTTAAAGTAAAGCTTGATGAGTGCTTTTTCAATTTTAAAGATACTTTTAATTTAGATTGAATGAAAAAAAATTAATAGTGTTATTCCGATTATTACTATAATACCCCTTTCTAGCAATAAAGGTGTTAGAATATTCCCGAGTGGCGACTAAATTTCCAGCACCATCCGATACTGTTTGGAGGCAAATGGTAGTGAGTGAGTTTTCACTTGCGGTACCCGACCGGAGGTGTGTATCTTGTATCACGGGGATCAGTGCTGTAGCTTTGGCTGTACTGAACAATTGAAGTTGGCAGTGTTGTGGTGGCTGTGGTTAAAATCCAAACTTAGGCGAATGGAATGATTATATTTATTTACTTTCGTTGGTCGTGGAGTTGTGGTTTTCAACCAGGTGCTGTGACCCAAAAATCAGCAGAGATGTTGGTAGTGCTCGTTCTTAACCAAGTGGAAAGCAATGCCAAACACATAACTTCAATTGATACCAATGAAAATTCCATGGAATCATACTAGAGCATTATCTTGATACGCATGTTGAGTACACCGTGGTATGGAGCCCTCAAGGCAGGTAATCACATTAATCACTGGTTAAAACCTCAATCTCATAAAAATGGCTTTTATGAATATATAAAATATAAATTTTGTACTAATTTGCATATAATTTTGCTTGTATAATGAATAGGATAGTTTATTTGATGACTGACTGAACTCAATTGAGTCCTGCACTGTTTTACCAGCTTTAGTTGGTAGTACATTGCTGTGCTATTATAAGCGTATTCTAGATTTGGTCAATATTTAGTATCTAGTAGTATTAAACCCTCTCATTATTATTGTCAAATCGATTATTATTAATATTAAACATATTAACATATTTTGATATATTTCAATATGAAGTATTAATATATTTAAAGAATATATTGGAAGATTCATATATAAAAGTATTTATATATTTTTGTGAAAACTGTTAATGCGGTACGTTCTACAGCTTTTCATTTATTATGTTAAATGTATTTTCGAATTCAAAATGAGATAAATGACGAATCACTTTCCTACTACCATTATCACTATTGCTATTATAGTATTATATTAGTCATAAGGTATAGATAAATAAAATAATTACGATATATGATTAGACAATACTTGTGGTTCGAACTTTGCTTTACACCAGGGTTGTCCAGACTAGATAAGATCGCGGGTCAATACAAATCACAGAATAAACTAGAAATAAATACATACGTTCATAATATTTCCGGAGAATAGTAAAAATACGACGATAACGATAAATTTAGTTTTATTATTCTTTATTAATTTATCTTTTACAATTCTATCAATATCGGCATTATCAATATAAGTTATTGCAATACAAAAAATATTTATTTTTAAAGTTATGTTGAAATAATGTTGTACAAAGAAATATATACTAAAGTCATTGTCAATTATGTAAATTAATGGAAATGTAATATATGTAATATATAAATTTATTTGGGATACTATAAAAATAAAATAATGTGAAATTACTAAAATATAACAGAGAATAATATGCCTAATTGTGGTAGATTAGAAACAAGTTGGGGACCGCATGAGGCCCGTGGGTCGTGCTTTGGACAGCCCTGCTTTACACCTTTAATCTAGTACTAAAGAGTTTCTAAAAATATATCTAAACAATTCTACTAAAGAAAAATATGCTTAAAAATCTTCAAATTTTATCAATCTGTTCAGATTTATTTATAACTGCATATCAACCATAAGGTTTGATCGTAAATGCTCATTAACTTTGATTGTATCTTCAAGATGGGTAGTGATTATATGTATCAAATCCGATTCTAATTAACAAAAATATCATTTAAAAATATAACATCACATAAATATTTGTAAAATTTTTCAGATTTCATAACCCTTAAGGCAAACAATTTATTGAAGAATAATAAATATTTTGACGAACGTCAAACTGTTTCAAGAATTCCATAATGCACATATCAGTTATGCAGGTGCAATGTATGAGAATTCCTATTATAAAACAAAAGATATGTATGTATGTGGGCATCAAAATTCCATACAAAAAATTTTTGTTTTATTTTCAAAATCTAAATACGTTTTTGAGAAGCGAATTTTCTGTAGAAAACAATATTATATCTTATAAAACTGCATGTGGCTAGTGTCTAAGTTTTGTCATTCGGAGATATATATATATGTATATATATATTTGTATATATAAGTGTACATATATATATATGTATATATATGTACATATATGTATGTCGCAGCAACGGCCACAACTTAAAGTCATTTTGCAGTATTGCACTCTGTAAATATATGCAAATAATGTAAATGTATTCCAAATGTTGCTGTGTATCTCATTTAATGGATAAAGGGGTCTTTGAGTTAAAAACTATATAAAATTAAAACGCAAACACAGCATGTAAAATTCTAATCTGACATTTAGTTGACATAACCATAAAAATTGTTAATATTGCACAATAATAATTGAAAAAAAAATTTAATTAACACCACAATATTCTTCACTTCACAAAAGATACATACATACCTATATATCTGTTGGAGGTGTTTACTGTTAGCGTTTTTGTGAGACTTTTTTTTGAAAGCAAGTTGAACTGAAGAATATTAAATTAAAAAAAAAAAATTTTGCATATTTATTTAGTTTAGTAAATTCAAAATAAATTAAATAGAAAATCACTGTCTTCAATAAGTTCTGGAGTCATATTAAACACGTCAAAAATGTGAGAGGTATTGGAGAACTTAAGCGTTGGTCGTTCAAAAAATATAAACATTCTTATAGAGTTCTCCTCCTTCTAATAGAAATCTACTCCTAATATATCACATTTTTTAAAACGATACTTCAACTTCTTTAGCTTTTCTATATGCTGTGATGTTAAGATTTTCAAAATATTTGTCTATCTTTTCATTTAACGATTATACTGTCCACTTTGTACATAAAAAACAATCAGAGAAGACATTAACTGTTGGATGAAGAAATAGTGATCAATTTATTCAAAATGCTACCACTCGAGGCCTTGTTCTGTTCAAACAAAACTTTTGCTTTTTCAAAGTATCTTGAAAAATTTTCTTCCAATTACTTGAATGTGAGGATGTATATAAATTTTTTGAAAGTTGTTCAACCGTTTTTGTGTATTGTTTACCATTTTTTATCTATTATTTATGTAAAAAATATATAAAAATTATAAAGATTCAAATTTCACAAAAAAAAATAAATAGATTTAGATTTGAAAGCCAAAATCAAACAAATCTTTAGAACCACTTTATGAACGACAAAGTAAAATTATTTCTTTTGTGTGTATTGCTAAACTGCCTTGGGACATAATTCTTAAGGATATTAATATAAAAAAAATGGGCTTTTTATACAGAAACAAAACACTTCCACTCTTTTTAAAATTTAATATATGCTTTCAGTATATTTTATACTACATATTTTACCATGTACCGCACAATCATCGAAAAAGTTAGAGGACACAATTTTTAGTTTCGTTGAAGGGAGTTCTTTTAGTAATCGTGATATTTACTTTAATTATTCTGTTTATAAATAGATAATATTGAATAATTTATACTAGTTGTTGTAAGATCCTTACTGAACTTGAATCTCTCTTGCTATACCAGTGATCATGATAGCAGAGTTTTTGGCTTTTTCTTCTTCTTTGTAGGTTGATCACCTTTTTGTAACAATTGACTTGATTATTTTTCGATCTTCAGAGTGTAGTGGTAGACTCAAATTTCATCATCAATTGTTAAAAAAAAAAGCCTTATAAATATTTAACCGATTACGTTTTTAGTCTGAAGCCGATAAATATAGCTGCCAAAGCTTGAGAAATTTTCTCTTGACTAAAATCTCACACAATTTCTTCCAAATATGATCATCAATCGCACGCCTCCGTAGGTTTGCTTTCAATAACTCCTGAACTATTTTAGTAATATTTAATATAGAAATTTGTAAAGAATTAAAAGGAATAATTCCTATAGAACGTCATGATGCTCCTAATTCAATAGTTGGAGATAAACTTATATAGCGAAATTCTTGAAGTAAAGAAACAAAACATGGATTTTGTTTCATATGGATTATGCAGATCCATATGAGATTGTTTTACTTTATTTTCTTCACTATTTTTAAGTTTTGGCCAAAGAAAATGGTATTCAATAACAAAGGTTGAACGACCATGTCGGAAATCAGATAGAATATAATAGAATAGCAATAAACAGGATACCTAACTGAACAGAACACATTAAGCCCTTCGCATGATAGCCAAAATGTCAGCCGTTGAGGATAGAAGGTGACGGAAGGGGAAAGTAATTCTCGACACAGTGACCCCCTCTTGGTCCAGATCAAGGCCAGATAATCACAAAGAATGTAACTGGAAGTCTCGTCTGCTTCTAAGCAGAGTCGACGATCTATCTCTTCAGACAGACCTATTTTGTTAAGGTTATAACGCAGTTCGTGGTGGCTCGTTAAATATTCCACCAGCAACCTCAACTCTGTTCTGCTGAGG